CATTTTTCTTTTTTCCATTCGTTTTTTACAAAAATGAAAGAATTATTCCATTTTTTTTTTTCATTTTCTTCATAAAACTAAAAATTTCTTTTCAAAAATAAAAAGAAGAATGAATGAATTTCATTTTAGAGAATATTTTTTTGTTATTTTATTTATATGCCTTTTAGGATTCATTAAAATGTAAACAATTAGTGAAATTTCGATTTTAATTGCTATTATTTATTATAAATTAATTGACATTTGATTAAACAGTTACAAAAATTTCTTTCATTTGAAAGAAGTCAGTAAATAAATTTTTTTCATTTAGATATTCTTTATCTCGTTTTATTTTTAAAACAATTATAGCTTAATGTTGAGAATGTTGATATTTGAACTGTATTAAATTTTATTTTTTATTTCAAAATAATGTAATGAAATCTAAAACACTGATTTCTTTCGCTTAATATCAATTAAAGAAATAAAGAACATTTGATTTTGAAAAGTGATCTGAAATTCAATTATGTTATAATACGCCTTATAACTGTTAGTAATTGGAAATAGTTTAATAAGGTTTGTATTTTGGTACTAAAAGGTTCATTATAAAATTTGACAATTGATTAGAGGCATTTTTTGAATAGATAATCAAATTTTACAACTTGCTTGACGAAAAAAAAAATTTTTTCATACTAAAAAATGTTTCAGCTAACTTTGGGATAATATGAATTCTTTAAATAAACAAATTATTCGTTTCATTTTTTAATTTTTAAATTCACCTAAAACGTAAGTGTTATAATGGATTATTGAAAATTGCATAAATATCATTTTGAAAGTCAAAATTTTTGTGCAAAAAAATGAATGGAAGATGTTGCTAAATGACCGCAAAAATTGGTCGCGATGGAAAGGAAATTTATTTTAATTTTTTTGCACTTTTTATTGAAAAAATTTTTAAAAATTATGAATTACTTCCTCTTCTTTTTTTGAAAATTATTGCTTGAAAATTTGGAATTGGTTTTGGAATTTATGAAAAATCTCTTTGGAAAAGAAAAAGTATGAAAAAAATAAATTTTTAATTTTTCAGTATTAATTTTATTTCACTTACTGCTAATTTATTTATGAATTTTTGACTTTTTTACAGTAGTAACAATAAAACCTTAATTGAATAAAAAAGTTCATGTTAGCAATTTCCTTTTTCTTGATTGTTGATAACTTCTACATTTCCAGATATCCATTCATAGCTTCTCCTCTATTTCAGTATATTGTTAAATATTTTTCAAGCAATTGGTGTAAAATTTGGTTTTCATGATTAATCAATCAATGAATTATCAGACAATTTCAAAATTAGCTAATTCATCGATTAGTCAATATATTTTAAAATTTTTAAATTGATGTTTGAAAAAAACTTTAGATAAAGTTTAAAAAATTACTTTAAATTAACGTGTACCTATTTTTTACTTAGGAGTATTTAATTCCTGTGTCTGTTTTTTTTTCTATTTTTTATATTACTCAATCGTATTGTAAATAATTTGGCAAGAAATTATTTTAAATTTCATCAAGTCCTTAGTAGACGGAAAATTAATAAACGGGAATTTCGTAGTGATATGAAAAAAGCAATGAGCAATATTTATACATAGGAAGTCCGGATAGCCGGAAGATGAAGCCACAATTATTTGAATCTGTCCGATCATTATGATTTCATTGTTACAAACAATGAAAAATCATTTAATTAAAACTAATTAATTAAGGAGAAAATACTCTTAAAAAATGTGAAAACGTTTATTGATTAAAATTTGACATTTTCTTCATACTTCTTTAGGACTGCATTGGAATTCTAAGTGTTTTTTATTTGAAAAAAATTGAAGGAGAAAAAAAAATCATAATTTAATTTTTTAAATTTCTAAACGCAATACTTTTGGGTGTACTTTCATTCAATCTCCATCCTTAAAATAGAAATCTACCACATATATGTGTACATATATTTCATCAATTGTTTTTTTTTCTGTTGCTATCATGAAAAATATTCGAATTTTTGGATTTGCTTCTTATTCCCGGTTGTATGTATAGCTGTTTTTTTTTTCAGCAAGCTTACTTCTTTCTCACGCTAATTTTCGGTTAATATTCCGGTATGGTGATTTGTTTCTCACAACAAAAATAGTAATTCACGATGAAATGGCCTTCTCATTCCTTTTAAAAATGAGCAAGACCGGAATGTGGTTAAACAAATGAACCGTATGCTAATTGGTTTGAGAGCAATCTTTTTGGTTGAAAGATTTTCGTAGCAAAAGGAAAGAATGGAGAAGAGGGAAATAAATGATTAAGCGAGAAATGATTGCGATGAAAATTTTTCATTTCCAAAAAGACAAGAAGTTACCTTTGTTTGTTGTCCATGTGTTTTTGTCAATTTTGTTTTATTTACTGGATTTTAAAGAAGGATGGATGAGATGAAGAAATTTGCAACAATCATTGGAAGAAAAATGATCAATTAAAGAAATGTTTACCAC